ATTATAGTAAATCCAGTCAGATAATCGAGATGATCTGAATACTAATAATTCTGATATTTTGTATCAGCTATTAGATTATTTATTTTACTTAACTATTAAATTTGTGATATGCTCGTCAGTTATTAACGTGCGACAGACGCGAAGGCATCCGAGCTAGCTCATACAGCAAAAATCGCGACCATTTATGTCTTACATATATAATTATTTATTTTCTAACATAATTTTATTAAAAAATATTTAAATTAATTTATGTTTTAAACACGTATGTTACAACTTGAAAAATAAAAGTCGAAGCTTAGAATGTTTTATTGATTACAAATTTAATTTTGGTGATAAATTGCAGTTCCATATTCTGCGTTTTAATTTATGTTTATTCAAAAAAAAAATCAGTTTCTTATCGATAATAGACAATCACTATAAACACAAACTATAGGACTTTGAGTACTCTGAGGACATGATCCAAAAATGTTTTCGAAGTATTAAAAACGACAATTTTCTGCAATGCAGTCTGAAAATATGGGTCTTAAACTTATCATATTTTATATGATTTTATGTAGAGTTTAATTCGATTTCTGTAGATTATAAATAAATCGATCTAGATACAATCTAATATTATTAATATTATTGTATGAAAAAATAATGCCCTTGTACCTAAACATAATATCCATACATCCATATAAGTAAAAGTCGTCATCCATCGGCAAGGTGTATTTTTATAGTTCAGTGCTATCATATTATAAATGTATACGAATATACGATAGGGTGTCAAACAGTTTGTCCTCGTATAACTACGCCCCACCAAACTATATATCATTACAATCTTCAATCCGTCTCCTGCCAAACTTTAAAAATATATTTGAATAGACTACAGAAACTAATGATTCAACTTTTGACATCAATAAACCACATAATATAAACTTGTAGGTACATCAGATGACTCATATGTTAAAAGGCAACAAGAAAATAAAATATTATACGGTCGAGACTCAACTACTCGAATCCGAAAATGAACAAAAATAAATTTGACTTCTGTATTTTTCGAGTTATATATGAGTACCTCAACACAACTTAAAAACACTTCAAATGGCAAGTAAAAACTTCGAATTAGCGAAGTTTTCGAGTAATTGAGACACGGGCCACGCGGCTATATATTCTTGTGTTTGTAAGTAATTTCTTATGGACTCTTATAATATACAGATACATGGATAAAATAGTTAAGTATAATATTATATTATATTTATGTAGGTATTACTTAACCACTACAGTCAGCTCCCGCGACCGAGTGTATTGCAGCACACTTTAACGGGATAAAAAAAAAATTCGTGTGAAACCAACGCGTCATAATATTATTGGAACACATCCGGCGCGTAACAGTGCGGGACGACGTCGATTTTGTTATTCCAAACGTGGAATACTGCATTATAATAATAATTATATACGTACCTATACAAAAAAATAATGTATACATATATGGTATAGGCCAAAATCGATCGCACGGATTCGGAATAATAACAATAATCGATCGTCGTCGGCATCGGTGCTGGGTATACCCGGCTCACGTCATTTACTCATATTATATGTATAGCACTAGCCAATAGCTGTACAATATAGGCGGTTAAAGTGTAGACATGCGATAGTACATTATTTGAAGGCAGGGTTGGGCAAAATGGTTAAATACTTTATTTTTCACAATATAAAAATATACTAGATAGATTTAAAATAGAATAATAAGCAAAATAAAGAGTTTTGTTGAAAATGTACTTGAAATGTAGTATACAAAATTCAGGTTAGGAGCTTATCTAAAATAAGGCCAAAATATAATAAAAAGTTAAAAATGAAAAAATATATATCTCAAATAAACATCAAAAATTAATCTAACATTGCCGTGTCGGAGAAAAGATTTTTTGAAAATATTTCGAGGGGTCTGAACCGTGAATACGTGTCTGAACGAGCTGAAAAACTCCATAATGTTATACATTTTATCGGATTCCAGCGGTGTCTGGGAGTAGTGCGAACGTCACGCGTTGTATAATAAACAATAACCGTTCTGACACTATATGTAATACCTAACATAATAATAATATAATAATAAATATAATGACGTTGTGGCAGACTCGTTGCGTGTGAAATATTCCTGTCGATCCTTGCCAAAAACTTAGGACCAAAAACATTTAGATATAATATTATAATATGTCTACACATAATATATTAATATAATATATAAAATAATACAGAGTGCGAGATTCGGGGCATATTATATTATTGTGACGCGCCATCGATAATTATTGTATCCGACTTTGATGGAGTATTGGGGTTCATCATATCTTGTTATTGTCATCGAATTGATTATCTTTTCATTTATGGTATCTCTTAAGAATTTCGAACAGTATCTATACATATATAATACCTACCTATTTATATACATACGTACCATTTACCACGGTAGCTGTACAGACTTACAGTGTGCATATACCTATATATTTCTACATACTATGTACCAAGGTAAATATCATTATATTCCGCAGTTACCGTATTACCTATACATTTACAACTATAATCATTACAGTAACTGCGGAATATAATGATATTATAGTATAATCAATCGTTATCAGTTGTACATAGGGGTATGGCCGCCGGGGTAGTGGAAACGTACAACTCTCTACGTACAACCCTCTACGTCCTACACCACAGAGACGCGGTCTCTTCCGTTTCGTCATACACACATATTATAATTATAAACACATATATGTTACGTGGTCCGCGGGCATCTGATCGTCGTATTTTAAATGAATCTTATTTGTAAGCCGTTATAATTACAAGCGCTCGGTTGTAAAGGATAACAATACAAATAGAAAAATAACACTGGCCCGAAGCTGTTTATTATATATATATACATACAATATATAATCTACTTATACACATATATAAATATATTATATTATTTGTTATTACACTACTTATAAGACAGTAATCTATACTATAATATACACTCAATAACCGTAGTCGGACCAATTGGTCATCCACCCGCTATACGTCAGAGGTCGTTGCACCGTCATCACGCGTCTTCTTCAGTGCATTCAAATATGCCTATCGGCTAATCATTATAATATATATATATATATATATTGCATATTATATATTGTGTTACGGAAATTTAGACGGCTTGGGTACTCCTAATAGGATTCTATCGTCACAATAGTAATTGAAAAATATTTTTAGAAAAAAAAATTGCAATTGAGCGTCGGTAAACGAATTATAAAATATACCTATACACACTAGATATGCACTTGGACATCATCGTAACGGTCGTTAATGGCCAGGAAACAGGCACGTGGCGGACGTGACTGCATTGTTTCAATGAAATATTTTTTTTTCTCTGTTCTCACTTTGGTGTATTAAGGTTAAAAAAAACCTCGATAGAAAGAATTCACCACGAATACCGTCTTGTCACATTCGTCCAACAGAGGCGACGCGACGAGTCATATTAAACAGGTCGTCGACTTAGAAATTGTATTGTTTTTTTCTCTCCATATTAACATAAATGTTAGAATATTTTTCGAATTTTCGATGTACATATAATTATCTTTATAAATAATGATAATAATAATAAAAACTAGAGTTTCAGAAACAACACATACGTACTCTTTCTCAGTCGTCTGTCGACACACATAACCTATCAGTATAACACCTATGCAGTATGCATGATGTATATTATGTATTTAATATTTATGTCTTACACGTAATAATGTGCGATATGTTTAAAACGTTTTAGTTACCCAATGTGGTAATGTATATATCACTATAATAATTATCAACTATCGTCTGCGTACTTGTCAATTGTGATATTACATTAACGATAAGATCATCCCATAGACTTCCTTCGTAACAACTTTATTTAAAATAAAACCTTTTTTAATTATTATAAAATTAAAGAGCCGCAACACCAATATTCGTTTTCCTACTAAAAGGATATTTCCTGTGTAATGTGCAGTTTTTTAATGTTTGAACTCTACAAAAAGTATTTAATGATTAAAAATAAGATAAATTAAGTTAAATTAAAACATGCTTATCTTGATAAAAATTTAAATATTAAAGAAAACTATCAAGGAAATACATAGGAAATATCCTGCTTTGTATAACGTATAAGTAAAGATACCTTTGCCTAAAAGTTTAGGGGCTAAACTTAACCACAAGTAACAATCGTGGAAGTACGGAATACCTAACTTACCTTTGTTGTTATATTAAGCAGATGCAGACAGAGAAACAAGTATTAGTGTGAATAAGTTATAATGTAAAAATATGCATAACTCACGAGCATTCACATGCTCATGCTCGTCACTAAAATATAAAATAATAATAATAATAATATAATAGGTAGGTACCTAATAATATGTTTTGAATCTGCAGCTTCGATGATTGGTATGCAACTCAATGGTTCGTTGTCTGTAAATTGTTATACTCGCTCTTTATTATTCTGATACGTTGAAATGTTGAATATAGTGTAATGTGTAATCGTATAGGTCCACGAGTATAGATGCATCATAATAATTAAAAATATAGTTGATCAAATTTTGAGTTGTGGTAGACAGCTGGTGATGGGGATTGCAATAAAATTGTATACGCTGCAGTATACCACCCCCGTTAAGGTTGTTTATATAAACTACGAAACAATATATACCAAGGGTGGCCAACGATAAGAGAGTAGAGAGCAGAACAGTGTAATCTAAAATACGTAAGAACAAAGAGTAGGAAAAAAAGGTTCTTAATAGGTACTATACTAAATAAGATGCAATAAAAGATTATGTAGAATGTGAAACATTATAATACTTACGTATACAATAAAATGAGATTGAATTTTGCATCGGATAATTTTGTCTTCACATTATCATACTAGTAAAAATGATTTTCGTCTTCCGATAAAACGCGAGACGCGGTTTGACTACCCCTGATTTTTACCTCTGAAAATAGTGACAAAAATTCAAAAGTCCTGTCTGTTGCAGATCTTATTTGTCGCCACTTCCTTAATGGTGACAGTGGCGTTGGGCCAGCAACGCCCCGTCCCGCCAACGTTCACCAGACCCGCAGTGCAAGGTCGAGGTATCGCTCAACTGAACTTGGACCCACAGCAACAGGTGCCTCAGCCGTTCCGCAGAGTCTCTTTGCCCCTGTACAGAGGTCGAGGATTCAGTCTGGAGGGACAGGAACCGAATAAGCCTCAGGTAACGCAGCAGACTTTCCAGCCGAGACCGGTCGAAAACGTCGACGTTGACCCGGCGGCGGGCAACGACGCGCCCCAGCCCACCAGACAAGCGCCGCAGCACCAGTTTGAGAGAACACAGCAGCAGCAAGTCGACAGGGTCCAACAACAACAACAACACATTGACAGGATTCAAGCTCAGCCTGAAAAACAGTTCCCTGGATTCCAGCCTCAGGTATATAGGAAATAAAAATATAGAGAGACTCAGCTATAGAGGCTTATACATTATATCATATTATATTATTATGAATCATTAGTACGATTTTATTGTGATCAGGATAGGTATAGGCTTATACATAAATTATAACGCCCGGGTCCACAATATTGTCTGGTTGTTTATTACAATTTTCAAGTGAATCTAAATATTAAAAAGGGAGTTAAAAACGTCTTATGGCTATTTAAAGTTGTAGCATTGTGTCATTAGAGTCATATTAAAAGTCATCATATTATAGGTAACCCAAAATATTACCGATATAAAATGCTAAATATGTTTACCTAATAATTATCTAATTTATTAAAAAAAATTCCAAATAATCCAGACAGTTCGATTGTATCTATAATGTTATATTTTTATCCAAGTAAATTGGTAACTGTAGTTTTCCACCGCTATTGCGAATCTATAAAGTAATATAGGTTTATACAGTACCTAACGATCTAGGACAAATGGACGTGGGGACAATTGGACGTTAAAAAAATATAATCAAAATATTAAATTAGTAAATAAAATTAATAAGTTATTTATATTTATTATAATATTTATGTGTCAAACAAAAACGAATATCCAAATTATTTATTGAGCCGTAATAGTTTGGACTAATGGCTAATAAAAATTTAAAAAAAAAAAAATGATTTACTATATAAAATATTAAAATTAAAAATGTATCTAAAACAATTTTTTATTACAATTTTAGGTACACCAGCAATTAAAATACAATATCAAAAAAAGTTATTTATATTAATTATCATAGTACGTCCAAAATATAATATATAAAATATCTAAGAAGTTTTTTTATATTAATGCAGAGAAATATTTTGTGCGATTCCGCGTAAAAATGATATTTTAGTTCTTATTATAATTAAGTCTGTTATGCTAGTATGCACACGAGCCTACGTTCTCTTTTATACCTACATCGCCAAAACCGTTTTAAGCCATCAGAACTAAAAGCGTCAAATAAGTACATGAAACCGTGAACCGGCATCCAAAAATACTTCACCATCGCGATTTTATTTAATTAACAACATTTTACATGTGTATGTATACTTGTAATACGCAATTTGTACACGACTAGCACGATAAGTGTGTATTGTCGTGTATCGCCGTGTTTCGATAAAGTGTGATAAACAAAAAAAAAAATATCTAATACCTATTGCCAAAGCGATAAAATTCAATCTATAGGTAATACCTACCTAGGTAAAATTCAATAATAATATCGATAAGGTTCGATATTATACGATACCATTATAGTTATATTATGAACATATAATATCAATGGTTTTATAATTTATAATAAGCATAAACCAGAATTATTCATTTTCAATTTTTTTTTTAATATATTTTGATGATGATCTATATAATAATATTATTTATTTAATTTATACTTATTTTGTCGTCCAAACGGCTACGACCATTTGTCCCTCTTCGTGTACCTAATAAGTGCAGGGTTACATTTATATACATTTTAATCGTAGCCCATCGTTGTAATTTTATTGTAATTATATTATTTAGCCCCAGATACAACCCATTGAATCACAACCAAACTTCGTGAGGAAGGTCGTACAGAGGCCGGTGAAACGCGTACGAGTCACCGAAGAGACGGAAGTTATTTCTAAATCTCCGGAAACGATACAGAGAATGAAACTTGAACGAACCGAGTCTGCCGACAAACAACGGGCGAAGAAGCCGGTGTCTCAGGTACCATATTATTTAATTTTGATTTTTAACACAATGTATAGATAGTAGACACGTTTTAAACCCGTAGATATCCGAATGGATTGATATTATTCTAGAGACCATAATGTAAATACTTTATCATCGTTCCGCTAATACGTTATCATATCTTTATAATCACTCAGGTCTCTCTTATAGTCCTATCAACTACTAGGAATTGGTGTTATAGTATTTCTCCACACCAGGCCTCGGAAATAGGTTATCTTGAACTGTTGCAGTTGTTATTATATTATGCACTCTTCTGACAACTGCCTTAATCCAAGTCATTGGTCTCATTCAAATAACGTAATATAGCCCGACATAGGCTAGCACTGGAGTGTATCATAGACGTCGCCTTTTACTTATACTTCCTCGATCACTCACTCACTCGGCACTTAGATAAAATCCTATAATCCGCACGTTTTCCCCGACGCATATTCGTGACACAACCGTCTATTTTTTTTTAAACGTCGTGCTATCTTATATTATACAGATACTACTTGACTTTTAGTACATTTAGTGCTGCAAATCAATAAAATATGTTTTCATCGAAGTGACTATTTACTATGGTAAACATACAATAATACTATATAGGCACTATACTATCGAAGTATCAACAGTAACAAGCGAAGAAAAAATGATTACGATCGCTCGTCAGTCGTCATTAAATTGCATTTGTATTTAATAAACGATTTAAGTCTATTATATATAACCAGATTATCCTTATATTATAGAAATTAAAAACCAGTTTATTTAAACTATCTATACATTTTCTATTTGTAGCTTATTAAAATAACAATAAGCCTACACATGCACATGGTATATTTATTATATAAATATATAGAGTATTAGCGTATCTTAACTTACAACTTTTCGAATATACAATGACGCACTGCGCTCGAAAACCATTCGACAAGAACAAAACTATTAACGATACTATATAGGTAGGATATGCGTACAGTGGAAAACAAAACTCATTTTTTTAATGATATCTAAATATGAATGTGTCTTATGAGTGAAAAAAAAATAATTACCTTTCAACAATGAGAAATCATGAAGAAAATTACATTTTCAATAGGTATAACATACAACATTGACCTTTTTACGAGTGTATAAAAATACAATTGCGGTGTAGGTACTGTAATATGAG